TGTTGAGGCTCTTGATGAGGATAATGAATGAAGACGTTTATATTTGCACACAGGGTTAGAGTTAACGTGCTGCTGCTACTGATGTGACTATAAAAGTGATCTGACTTGTGTCCATCAGAATCCCACTCCACTCTCCTGCTCCAGTTGAGGCGTCACATCACTCTAAAGTGATCTACATGTAATCCAGAAGTACTCTGACTACATCTCCATCAGTGTGTGATCTCAGAGATGACATCACTGTAACTGTAATCCTGCAGCGGGGGTGAAACCGCGGTGAGGAGTGTGTGACGGACCTCGATCGCAGCGCGCGCCGCTCCAGCCGGACTCACAGATACACTCGCCGGGAGATTCACACCAGCCGTGAACACAGTCAGCTGAGGGAACACACTGATCACACACTGCGCCTCGCCAGCCAGACTTGCACCTGCACACACACACACACACCTATTTAATCTTCAGAAGTATCTGTAACATATGAGTCCGATGAAGACAGATAAAGCACACACACAAATAGTGGGCACACACACTCTCAAACAACACACACACACACACACACACAAAATACACCCTCTTTCACTTTAGGAGCATCTGTAACACATGAGTTTGATGAAGACAGATTAAACACACACACACACGCACACACATACACACACACACACACGCACACACATACACACACACACACACACACACACACACACACACACACACACACACACACACACACACACACACACAATACACCTGCTTTGCCTTCAGGAACATTCGTAACACATGAGTCTGATGAGAACAGATTGAACACACACACACACACACACACACACACACAGCGTCTGCTCTGTGTTTACAGCTGATTCTGAACACACACACACACACACACACACACACACACACACACACACATACCTGCATTCTCCAGACTGCTCACAGAACCCGTGGTGTCGGTGACATCCAGCTCCACAGTCTGGACCTAGGACACACACACACAGACACACACACACATACACACACACACACACACACACACACACACACACACACACACACACACACACACACACAGTGGAGAAGAATAAACAGTGATGTGAGTGTCATTGATCATCTGTCACAAGTGACAGACAGCAGTAGACTATGATGATGATGAAGAAGATGATGATGATGATGGTGGTGGTGATGAAGAGAGCGCGCATCAGTCCCTCACCTTGAGCAGCAGCGCAGCAGAAGAGCAGCAGAAAGCAAAACCCGAGCCGGAGAAGCACACTCATCCTGCCGCGATCCTCGCACTCACACGCTCACGGTCTACCACAGCTGGACATCTCTCAACTAGTGCTCGAGCTGAACACTAACTAGTGCACTTACTAAGCAGCTGCAGACACGCGGGAAACACAGCAACTCCTCGGAGAAACTAAACCAGTCAATCAGTCCGCGCGCCGCCGCTCAGCCGAAGCCCCGCCCACAAACACCGACAGACACACCCACCAACAGCACAATCAGCGGTCATTTACAATAGCCACACACACACACACACACACACACACACACATACACACACACACACACTCACAGCGAGAAAACACATTAGCAATTAAATAGTAATAAGAGAGAGCTTCTAACATGATGGAAACTGTAATACACTATAGAAAACGCTTTATCAGACAGCACAACTGTATTCAATGATTTAGCAAATAATAAAAACAGAAGTAAACGCTTTATCAGACAGACAAGAATTTAGATTTAGGGTGCTTTCACATCTGTAGTTCGCTTCATTTGGTCCGGACCAAGGCCAATAAATGATGCATTGTAGCCTTTTCTGCCGTCTTTGGGTCGTTTTCACACCACACTGCTGGCTTTGGTCCGAACCAGTTGAAACGAACCAAAATGCAGTCATCTGACAAAATCCACATCTCTCATTGGCCAGATGTTGTTGAACATATTTCCTAAACTGCTTATTGATTGGTCAGAATTCATGTGCAGGAAAATATCAGTGTACTCCCGCAGGTAACCAAAACTGGCAGACACAACATGTGGTTTTTACTCTGGAGGGGCGACTGCGCTGCTGATTGTATCCCTGCTTTAGACAAACTATACATTTTGAGAATGAAGCGCGGCTGGAGAACAGTGTTTAATGCATCGCTCGTCACTTCAGCAGGAGGCGTGAATTAATTTAGCTGAACTGCGACATGCTCATCTTGCGGAAATATTACCAACGATCCATCAGCTAATGTTTTCCCCTCTCTCTCTCTCTCTCTGTTGGTAAAGCGCTGTCAACAAATATTTTTTCTCCATATCCCATAATGCACAGCGCATCGGCCTACAGGAGCTGGATTAGTCCAAAAGGTGCAGTACTGTTTGCAGTTGGACCTGTTTTAGTGCGGATAATATTCTCACCACAAACGAACCGCTCCAGGGTTCATTTGAAAGCGTACCGAGAGCACCTCTTCAAGCAGGTCTCAGGACGCTTATTTGGTCCGCTTTTGGTGCGCAGTCGAGTACGATTGCTGCATTCACACCTGCCGAAACCAACCGCACCAAAAGGGGAAACGAACTCTAGTGCGAATTAATCCAACTAACAGACAAAGATGATGCTAATCTAACTGATACAGGAAGATTATTCAAAACTCTGAGAGACAAACACTATCACTCTGAAGTTTAATCGTGACTTGGGAACTGCCAAAACTCTATGAGTGGATGGTGGATCACTGAACTCCAGCCAAACATCAATTAAAGGCCAGCTATAATGCAGGAATCACGTGTATGTGGGGTTTAACCCCAGTATAGTGTGTGTCAGTGGCACCTGCAGCCGTACGGTTGTATGCACTGTCCATATCTACCATGAGAGGGCGGGAATAATGCCGCTTTTTATGTTTTTATTTGTGACAAAGTTTAAATTGATTAATAAACAGTATACACTACAGCTGCCTGCTTCTCCACTATTGCGCCAAATCATTCTGCCAACACTTTTGTTTGTTGAACACGGTTGTTTCTCCACTGAGCCTGGAACGTCACGATTAATCTCACGGCAGTTCGTAACTTTTTGATTTAGTGGCTAATTCGTATGAAATCGTACGATCTAATTTGTACATTTTAGTACGATTTGCTTATCCCCCAATGACTGTTGGGTTTAGGTGTGAGGTTAGGTGAAACAAAAACCACAGAGCAGTCTCTGGCAGAGAATCACTGGCTCAGCACATTCTCACCAACACATTTTATTTATTAAAGTTATTATTTGATTGACTTAGATATAACCATGTATAATAAATATGACTCACCGTCATCTAAAATCTTCAAATAATAAAATAGCCTATTGTTTTATTCGTGGCTAGAGCTTGATTAATTTGATTGACATCCTAGGCAGTGAGACCTTTACTCCACCTGACTGGGTGTGAGTTTACTGCATGCAGAGCTGTGTGTGGTAGCACAAAAACTGGCTCTGACCCGGGAGAGAACTTCACCAACAGCTGCATGCAGTGCTGAAAGACTTTTTTTCTGCTGCACATCGAATAAAGACACGCTCAACATCATCGATGTCATCAATCCTATAGCTACATCCTATATTCACGAACTGACTCTTTGAACGACGAAGAAATAACTGCACTTCAGTCAAGCCATAGACATATGTATATATATATATTTTAAAATTGCATGAAATAATTAAAAGAACAAATTCTGGACCTTTTGTTTGTGGGGGTGGGTTGTTCGAACCACCTGAAACCCCCTGGCTTCGGGCATGTAAAGATGAATGAATGTGTTTGTTTTAATCAGACTTGATCAATGAAACACTGTGATTGACATTCTCCTGCTGTACGTGTCATTAAAGGGGGAAAGCCCCGCCCACTAGTGCCCATCTCATTAGCATGTCCAGCAGGCCTGAGTGAGAAGCAGCCGTCTGTCCATTCGCCATTAGAGTGTTTGAGCTGCTGAAGATGATGTCAGCATAGACTAAGAGGATTATAGATGTGGAGGTGATGATGAACAGCGACAGGAGCGACATAGACTGACAGAAGCATCAACACACACTCACACTGAAACACACACACACCTGCACTCACAACACACACACTGCTGTTTTACATCTGACACTATGGGGACATCTGTAGCTCCACCCTCTTCCGAAAACAGCACAATCTCATTTGCATTTAAAGTGACAGTCACCAAAACACCACAATCAGGATCAAAGACTGAAAGGGTCAGCTTCAGAGAGCTGGAGAACATCATCTGTGGGATATTCTCAGCTCTAACTTACACACACACACACACACACACACACACACACACACACACACACACACACACACACACACACACACACACACACACACACACTCTGACACAGCAGAGATGCATTTACAGCTTAGTAAAATAAAAAGGAGTATAATAGGTCTCCTTTAACTAACATAATCCTTCCTAAACTAGCTATTAAGAGTTAAACAAGCATTGAAATGAACTGAACTCCACCCTCTGAGTGGTCTGAACTCCAAACATGAGATTATCTTAAGTAAATGAGCTCATTATAAGGAGATGTTCAGGTTCTTCAGATGAGCTGCGGGTACTGTAATAGCCTCCGTTGTTCAGTTTTTGGGGATGTTTGTTGTTTTCCTCATTAAATGTTTGTCATCAGGGTGTTTCAGGATGTGTCTTCATACCCAAGGGCCCAATTAAATGTAGTTTTGGGCTCCTGAATAGCTGATTCTCACAGAAATATGCGCTGTTCTCGCAGGGGAGATGATTTTTGGCACACGTCTCCAAGCACAGGGCAGCGCGTCTCTGTGACCTACATGTGCTGCATCTCTTATCTCCAGCACAGCACGTCTGGATGTAAACACTGATAGCCTCATCTGTGCTGGAGAAACGGCGCTCTGACTCAAGACTACAGCAGGATGATGGATGGGGATAGATCTGCAACACTATTCTGTGTGCAAACGATCATGTTTTGAGCAAGCAAAGGGGATTATTGCATGCATGTTAATAATTCTGTGTGCAAAAGATTGTGTTTTGAGAGCGGAAATTGGTGTGTTGCATGTGTTAACTACTGTGCATCATGTTTTGAGGACATAAAAAAGACTTGTTGCATGTCCCTACACAATTCTGTGTGATTGAGCAAGCAAAGTAGCATGCACGTTAATAATTCTGTGTGCAAAAGATCATATTTTTAGCTCAGATAAATGGATTGCTGCATGCACATCAACACTCCTGCACACTAACAATCAGACTTTGAGTGCAGAAAATAGCTTGTTGCACATGTGTTAACTATTCTGCTCATGTTTCCACCATGCAAAATGGTGCATTAACAGTTCTGTGTGCAAAAGGTCATGTGTTGAGTGTGAAAAATGGCTTGTTGCATGTACTTTAATAACTATGCATGCAGTAGATCATGTTTTGGACGCATGAAATGGCTTGCTGCATGCAAACAAAAAATCTGAGCACAAAAGATCATGTTCTCAGCACGCAGAATCGATTGCTGCATGCACATTAACAATTCAAATCATGTTTTGAACGCACCATGTATCCTGTTGCACACTTAAACCTTTTGTGCACAGCAGAGTTAACACATGCCACAAGCCACTGTGCAATCTGGGAACATGATCTTATACACACAGAACTGTGTCGCAAATCTAAACCCATTATGAAGGAACCACTGGAGCATTGCAGAACCACAAACAAACAAACAATCAGTGCAAGTTTAGACAGCAGAGGCAATAATTCTAGCTTGATTTGAGTGTGTTTGATAACAGCACAGCAGCTGCTGGAAATATCCGCTTTTGGTTGCGCTTCTGAGAGGACAGGATCAGCCATTGATCCGCAGAGCTTTGATCTCATTTGAGATCCGTTATTTCATCCGTCCTGAGAGTCTCTCCGGCTCGACGGGACACAGCAGACAAGTGTCAGTCGCCGGCTGATGATGGATTAGAGCAGAAACAGGGAAAATGAGGAAGAAATGAGCAGCTCGCTTAGCCTGCTGAAGGTGAACACTCCTCCTGGAGTAATTATAACTCAGCAGGATGCTGGCCCTAATGATGCTTAATGCATTTTACATGCTAATTGTGTTTGTACACCCATCACAGCAGGAGATCAGCCAACCAGCTCCACTACAGTCTGCAAAGAGAAAACATGACAGTAAATGACACGAACGCAGCCGACATCAAATAAAAAGAGCTCTGTTTAACCGTGATGGAGTCTGCTGTAAATGTTTGATTCGTGTTGTAGATTTATAGACTCGAGTTTAATAACCCGCAGCTGTAGGACGCACCATTAGTTATAGCTCTGCTTTCATTTCTGCAGCTCCTGAAAGACTTGTTCAAAGATCAAACAGAAGCCACAGTTGAATTATCTATGTAGTCCCCACATGCTGCTCAATCTTACAGTCTCTTTGGTTCACTGTAAATAAGACACTATCATTTATTACTATCTGTTCAACACCACACTGAAAATGCTGGGTTGTTGTAACCTAATGT